AAAATAATAAATACATTTAAAAAAGTATACTAACGACAGGCCTGTGCTTCTTATTTAACCCTCCCTGAACTGGAATCACGTTATCTTATCTTATCTCAGTATCTGTGCAGTGTGCAACAACAAGAGGAAGAAGAAAGAAAATCCATGCAAAGATAACAACAGCAACCATCCGTACTCACGCAGCCGCAGCCCGCCGTCCACGCACAGAGATCCGGGGGGAAAGATGTGAGAGATAAGGGTCCTTGGAAGCAAAGAAAGTGAAACACGACCGCATCTCTCCCGCTATCTCTCTCTCTCTCTCCCTCTCTCTCTTATGTGTGTTTTTGTGATTCAGACGATACCGCGGGAGGAGGAAGAGGAGCAGCCGGTACGGGTCGGCACCGGGGGCGATCCGCCGAGATGAGATAACCAGAGGCGGCTGCTGTAGAGCCGGTTATTGTGGGCGACTGTCCGCTTTCTGTCCGCGCTCCAGAGGAGTGATCTGAGAGAGGGAGGAGAGGAGGGATCACCCCGATTCAGATACATCTAGAGTGGCTTCACACACACTCACACACTGCACCATGGATGATTAAGTACCCATCTCTCTCTCTCTCTCTCTCTCTCGCGCACTCCCTCTCTCCTCCCCACCACCCTCTTCCATCTTTTCTCCCCCTCTCTCCCTCCAGGACTCCCAGCAGCACTCTGACCTCAGATAAACCTGGGCCGGTTTTGCAGGAGTGCTGGACTCACTGGTCTCCAAAACCTATCCCGAACCAGCCTCCAGCTTATTCCATCTTGACCGTTACATTAGTCATCTATCATGCTGGCATGTGCAGGATTAGTGTGTTTGAGATTCCCATAGAGAGGAAGCTAGATAAGAGTCTTTGTTTATAGTGAATGAATTTTTTTTTTTTTTTTTTTTTTTCACAGCAGCAAGAATGCGTGTCAGGACCCCCAATGATAAATACGTTTAAGTAGAAGAGACCTGAAGACAGTCTAGGGAGATGCAAAAATTGACATCTAGTTGAAAGTAGACATTTGAAAACAGGAACCTGAATTCACTGGAAATGACAGTTTATGTGCAACATATTACTTTTTGTATTAACATAAAAAGAGAAAAGAACATTAAAAAAGCAATTGATATGTGTTATCTGATAATATTTCTGAAATTAAACAACTTCACACTTTCACACACAAAACCCCCGTTTGAAAGTTTGTGCAAAATTGTGACATTAAAGCCAAAATGTACTCTTACAATTTGATATATTAGTTTATTTTACATTTTGTAATTTTGTTTCAGTTCAGTTTGTGATTTTGTACTTTTCCCAAAAGTACTTCTGACCTCAAAACTGTGTAAACTTGATGCACTGTGTGGGCTGAAGGCCTTCACGAAGATGGAGACAGCAAATCATTTAAAAACAGAAGTTTCTCCACTGTTTGCAATATCTTATGGCTGTATTGTGTAACCGTCTGTTAGTCCCATAGCCTGCAGTGGTTAGTAGAGGGTGGTTACGGTTCCTACGAGGGTCAGTGCAGTGAGAGAAAGAGAAGGCAGGTCATGGAGAATGTAATAATAAGTTGCTACAGGATTAACAGACAGGAGAGAGACTGTGGAGAGAACAGAGACCCAAGAGTCACCTAATGTAATGAACCCAGTGTAAAGAGAAGAGGAGAGGAGAGTCACAGGGACAGTTCTGGATTTCATGTGCTATTTCTGCTTCATTACGTGACATAATAGGTGAAAAGGGCAACCACAGCATCCAGCATGACCCTGACAGAAGTGTTAAGGATGTTTCTCTTGTTTGTCACCAACCTAGGGAAACCGCAGTCTTTTTACTTTATTTCATAGGACCCTTTTAGTGGAATTTTAAAGGTGCAGAAATCTGCTGAATAATTTGCTAAATGCAAGCTGTTAGATGATGGGTCAGCGGCTCCATTGTGATTACAAAGGGGAGGTTGTAACCAAAGAGCTGGTGCTTAAAGTGACAGAAAAATGCTCATCCCTTTCCAAAACATCAAGTGTGGAGGTCCTGTATGACTTACAGTACCTTTGAAGTGAAGCTGCTTTTAGCTTTACAATCTTCCAGGTGTATCTGTGTGTCGGCAAGACAAGACGGGGATAGAAGTGGAATGTAGTGAGGAGGAAATTGTCAAATACTTTTGTTGCTTTTTGTGTCAGAGCAAAGTGTTTTTCTAGATGTTTTTATTCGGTAAGCCATCAGAAAATGTAATAATAAAATTAGCTATAAAAGATAAAATATTTTCTTTCACCCTCCTCAAAATTGCTTAGTGTTTTTTTAAAATTACATACCACTGGCTTAACATCCAAATATCGCTGTTGCCCCATCAGTCAGTTTCCAGTCTCTATGGCAGTGTTTTGATATTAGGCTTCTGTGATGTGGACTAACAGCGCTGCAGTTCAAAAGTGTATCTACAATCACAACGGCATGAAACAACACAGTGTCTCCTGTGTGTATTTGTATCATACTGCACTAACACAGCTTCTGAGACACTGCAACATCACAACCTGGCGTTATTTACAACAGAAAGATGAGAGAGCAGAAAATAAAACTGTGCCCAGACTCTTTTGGGATGCGTGTGATTTAAATTCCTGAAACTATTTCCAGGGGAGGAGTAACACAGGTTATTTCCTCCAGTACTTCAAACGCAATGGTTGCTGGAGGTAAAAGGGAAGTCACTAGCCTCTGGAGGTTAGCCAAAAACTAGATAAAAATCGCTGGCATCTTTCAAATAACACTGCTCGCAAGATTCACTAAAAATAGAAAAAATGAAAAAAAAGGAAGATTTCAAGTACACAAAGAAAAGAAGTGGGAACAGGAAAGAAAGGCTACTTGAGTATCTCTTGTAAAGACTTGAGCTGTGAAGATTAAGAGCTTAGAAAATTATAGATAATATTGATAATACTATGATACTGCTGGTGCTCATTTAAATAGGTTTTGTTCTCTGCATCTGATTCTGGTTCTCTTTTGTATTTCTGCCCCCTCTAATTAACACTGATAGCATCTGACAAATGGAGACATCACAGTGTCGGCGGTGGGTGGCTATTTACAGAAACACGCACACACACACACACACAAACAGAGGCACACATGTTGTCAGCAGCACCTGCTTCTGGTCTTGACAATGTGTGTCATTATTTATGGGTCTGCCCTGAGAGGGAAAGTGAAGGGGAGAAATTCAGACATAACCTTTTCACTGTACTGGTTATATTTGTTGTATTATAGTTTCATAAAAGGAAACAGTTCCCAAAACATTCCCTTCAATAAACTTCAATAGCAAACTGCTTGTAGAAATCATGGGGCTTTGCTACTTGTTTGATGTAAAAGCTGGCACATATACAACAAAGCAAAACAAATCCAGAAAACGCATTTAGTATGACAGAAGAAATGTTATGCAAGTCATGAAAGGAGAGTCCTCAGACGCGCAGAAACTGCCTTGCTTGCCCTTTTGTCGCTGCAGTATTGTGTGTGTCCTCCTCAGGTTACCTCCCTCCAACAGATAAGTAGGAAAGGAAATAAATAAATTAGAGGTCAGGCTAAAGTTTCCCTGTGACAACATCTGGCTTCGTCAGCTCGCTTTGTGTGTGTTTGTGCTGCATTTTTTTTTCCAGAGAGGTGATGGACCAAAGAGGAGACAGACAAGGGCTCATCTGTAGGTGTGCAAAGATGACTCATAAGGGAATAGCAAATGCTACAGTGCCAAATCATACGCACAAGCTCCTCTCAACCCAATTCAACACTTTTTAGTTCTTTGTTTTTACCTTTGGGTGACAGAAAGTGAAGGCTGAACACAGTGGTTGTTATGAAAAAGTGAAGAAACCTCATGATATTTCTCCTTTCCTCTAGTCTATTATTGCCCTTGAAGGTCTACAAATCTGATATGTAATGGTGCAGTCCATTCCTTTGAAGTTTAGTTTACCTGTCACAAAGAGTATTACTAAGACTCTAAAAACAGTTGTATAACATTTGAAATATAAAAAATAACCCTGATGACATCATTAGGGTTATTTCAGATTTGACTTAAAGGTCTAGATCGAGTGACAGAAATAATTGAATATGATATTCATAGGTATGTTTTAATTTGTGTACAATCACCTGAAAATACGAATCATTGTGTTTTCGTTACCTGATTTTATTTTCAGGCGCTGTGGGTCACCTTCCATGGAGTCCGCCACGTTGAACTGCGTTGTTTCAATAGCCCAGAACAGACAAACCAAAAACTGGCTGTAGATAGGGCTTAGGAAAGGGAGGGGTTAAGCGAGTGAGTTGCAATCTGCAACTACACCACTAGATGCCACTAAATTCTACACACTGGTCCTGTAAAGCTGCCTGTAAAGCTGCAATAGTTAGTTACAGTAGTACATGTGATAGATAATGAGTGAAAATATTTGCTTTGTCTGGCTCTCCTAATGGCATCTGCAAGAATCCACCGCACCTGAACGTTGGTTGAACAAAAACAACCAATTCAAGATAATTGATTGTTGAGTATCATTCCCAGAGAGAGTTGGTAGCTTGAAGATAGTTGATTGTTGAGTGTGTGTGTGTGTGTGTAGGTGTGTGTGTTGGTATTTGAAAAATATAGGATCCAGTGTTTTTGGAGCTTGACTCCCGATTTATGAGTTCTAAATACTAAATCATTAGAATACCCCTTTTAATCAAAGGGGTCAGCAAGGTGGAAAAGCTTTACCTGACAAGCTTGGTTTACTTTCCTTTACAGTATATTTTATACCTTTCCAGTCATGTAACAAACCAAGAAAAAACATAACATAACTCTACATCCCAACATCCACTTACGGCCACTCAGATCTACACCTTAAAAGGGTAAAACTAATCTAAAATGCAAAGAAAATTTAATATGTAATTTAAGAATTATGTAAAAAATAAATAAATTAAATTAGTGATGCCATTCTTTCACTTCACTGCCATGTTTGTAATGAAGTCAAAACCCCCCGACCTAATACTCCACATTACTGCCCTGTACAAAGCAAGCTGCAAGTGTTTGAGAAGACTAACTAATAATTAATAAAAAAAAATTCTTGGTTTATGTTCTCGCATAATTTGCTTTAAAAGACAGCTGCTCTGTTCTGATTGATCTGCATTATTCACAGAACGCAGCATTACTGAGGACGAGCACTTATCTTCCCTGCTGCACCACCTGATATCAAGGGTTAACAGTACTCTGATACTACAGAGCGAGGGAAGTTGAGAAAACAGAAAACAGATGGGTGGTCTTGCCAGGAGATAGAGATGCAAATACACCTCTAATGTAAAAGAGAAACAGGCAGAGAAAGATGCATGACAAGAGAGAAAGGGTGAGCTGAGAAACAGACACAAGCACACAGAGATAAAAAAAAGACAGGAGAGTGAAAGAGAGACAGGAGAAACAGACAGATTGAGGAAGGAGGGAGGAAAACGGGTCTCAGAGCCGACAAGGTTATCTAGCCATGCGTGTGCCAACAGTTCTCTCTGAAAAAGGACCGGCCTGTCTAAATGTCAACACAGCCTGGAGCAGTGAGGATATACCCTGAATAAGATATGCAGTGGAGAGATATGAGAGGGACACAGACTGAGACAGGGCCGCAGGGTCATTTACATCAGCGGATGTCATTAATACAGCAGCACACACACACAGAAGTTAATCACATGAAAAGCAGTTAATTGAAATTCAAACTCAAGTTTTGTCAATATGAAGTAGATAAATAATATTTGATAAAGGATTTCAGACCTGTTGCATTTATATATTTGTCCTTTAATATATTAACATATTAACTGAAAGACAATAAGTGAACGCACATATCTTCTATTATCCCGACAGAGATACATATTAGGTGTTTTTTGGGCCCCTTCACAACTGCAGGTTCTCTAACACCACCTGCAGGAGTGCCTTTGTTACTGCACCTCAACGCGCAACAGCGACAAATGTGAATATGCATGATAAAGTGTTGCAGTTGATGCTGTAATGGATATTTGATTATTACAGGAGAGAAAATTAGGTTTTGAATTTCTCATTAATGAAAAAGGTAATCAGGGGATCATGTCAATTCAAATGTAATTAATGGTTGAACTCAGTTGTATCTACAGCCTCATCAATAGGCATCCTATCCTTTAATCTGTGTTCCCTGATGACCCTGGGGTTTATATTTTCATTTATCTTTTCTAACACTGACAAGGCTTAGGCGAAATGGCAATAAGGGCCTCTTTATCAGCAGAGTCAGGAGGTAAGAGAGAGAGAGATAACCAGCATGTGTCACATTTAGTGTTGTGCTTTGAATGTGCACTCTGCAAATAACCCTTTTTTTTAAACATTACAATATGTTAAAAACACAAAAAACACAGAGGACAAGGCAAGATAATAATATGATAGGACTGCATCATATTGGGAAATATTCACCTGTTTAATTTAGAAACATAATAAACACAACCAAAGTCAAACTATAGAACTGCAACTTAATTCAATACAGTTGTAACTGACCATAACATTTTCTATATGTATACCTAAATAAGGCATTAAACTGCTGTCCTTGTGTTCACAATCACAAAAAGCTTAAAATATAGCTTGAAGTTCTTCATTATATTACCTACAAAGAAAATGTTCTTTAAAAGAATATCTACATGATGCAGGAGAGTGAGAAGGCTAGGCAAGATTTACAGGTTGAAGCCTGAATGTCCAAAATGGTTTTCCTTCCTGTCACCTTTTCTCTCCTGTGATGTGATGGCAGCTGCACCAGGTTGACAGTCAGCATTAGAAACTAAAAGCTGCTTTGGAGAGTAAGAGCTTTCAGCAAATAAAATCCAACAGGGATCAACATTTTCTATTATTTACTTTCTATGATATGTCACGTCTATTCTGCCAAAGGAAGGCCATTGTTGGCTGAGATCCTACAGTAACCATATGGAAACTTTATCATAAAAATCATAACATTTAGACAATATCTCAAAGTTGAAAGCCACGTCCACATTCAGCAAAATGATTTAACAAGTCAGAGGAACACTTATGCTGATTTCCTCTGTGGAAGAATGCTCCAGTAGGATATCCTTCCGACTGAGACAAGGTTTGCCCCATGTGTATACTGTATATGCCATTATTTAAATAATACTTTGTACAATGATCGCCCTGGATGCTTCTGTAAACTGCCTTGTAAACAGTCAGCAAACCTAGTCAATCAAAAGTAGGAGGTGGTAGGTGGATGCAGTAAGTTGTTCAGGCATAAAGAGGCTGGTAGCCACTCCTCCGGCCGCCGGTTTTACAGGTGATCACACATACGCTCAGCATCCCAAAGAACTGCAACAGGAAAAATGAAGGTAATTAGACACAAGCTCCTTGAATTAAGTTTCGGGAGCTTTACATGCTCATGGGACAAGCTCAAATACTTACATTTCTATAAATTAATTTTTCAACTGTACCACTTTTCTTCTAAAGTTTATATCAAGTGCTAAATAAGAAGTAGTCTACGGGACAATCAGGTCATTCTATTCATTTACTTTTCCCCTTCTAAGGAAATCTTGGAGTTAAAATTTCTTAGAAAGCTAGCTTTGATTTTCAAGCATAATTGAATCAGTAAAGTGTACAAATGCTGAAATGGCTGTTAGGATACCACACTGATCCGTTTTTGTTTCAAGGAGTAGCCCTCAACAAAGCTATCATTGTACTTTTACTTGAGTAGATTTGAAGACTATTCAAGTGATTCAACTGAACAATATTCCAACTTGTTTTTCCACCCCTGACAAGCACTAACATGTCACACCCAGTACAATACATATCCCACTAGTTCTCCAGAAAGATTGACATGTAGCTAACTGCAGAGTGACAATAGGGAAAAGGATGTACAGTAATTCTCATTCACTGCTGCTAAACTGTATGTGACCGTCTTTACCTTGATGATGGCGAAGCCCAGAATGACCAGCATGGCGTAACCCAGCACACCCTGTAGGAAGATATCCAGCTTGGCCTCACAACCCTAAAATACATGCACACAAGTACAGTGAGCGCACATACTGTACATGCACATCTGTAAATGTCTGCTCTCGCTTTACTGCCTATAATTTGCCTTTGCAGACTTTATGTTATGCGTCATAAAAGCATTAAAAATCATTCAACGTAAGATCTTTCCCATTTAAAGTCTTCAAGTTGCACTTTGAGAAGCAGTTAAAAGCACATATACGACAATATCACATAAACATATCATAATCCCAAGCTCAACACAGACAAAAGCACATGTAACCACACCTACACCAACACAGTATTTCTGTCAAAAAGAGCCAGTAGTGCTTCTGTATGATTTACCTCTACATTGAGCAGGTCCGGTTGATCCAGTCTGCCAGTGCACTGTGTGGAGGTACGGTTTTTACAGCAGGACAGAGGCACTGTGTTGTTGTGGCTTGCAAACCAGGTCGTGTTGGACCAGCTGGTGTAATTTCTGACACCACAGCACTGCACCTGCACAGACAAAGACAAAGTTAATAAAGAACTCAACAGGAGTCCAAAAAATACATCTGACAGTGAAAAAGACATTATAGAGAAATGGAAAGAGTGACACTATATGAGAAGGGCTTACGGGAAAATACCAACCTCTTACACTTACATCTTTCACCTATAATGTGGAAGTTACAGCACAGAGGTTACTAAAAGATTTTTCACTATCACACTGATTTCACCTATTTACTTTCTACTTCAGTGAGCAATTTCCTGCTACTTATAGAATGTCTTTTGACAGACCTAGAGGTGTGAATTTGATGCATGCTGGTGCAGAGCGCAGCAGTCGTTTATGGATGTTATTTCTATATTGTTGAAGACATTTCAGCTCAGGCCCAACAATAGGGCAGCGATATACCATCATACCACCATGTTTTTAGCTGTTGCTGTTTTAAGATGCCTTCTTTCTTAAAAGACAAGAGACAGGCAGACTGAGGTGCAAGTTGAAAGTACAAGAGTGGGAAGTGAAAGCAAGAAAGCAAGAGAGGATGAAAGCAGAAGTGGTGGAAGAAACTAAAAGTACAAGTGGAAGACAAAGCTTTTTATATACAGTAGAATATAACCCCAACCTCAGTCTGCAGGTAGTCCACAGCTCTGGTCTCAGCGTTCTGTCCATCATATTTCATGAAGACATTGTTCATCGAGCGCTCCAGGTCGCCACTTATCTGGACAGACGCAAAGAAAAAAACACATAATGCCGACAGCTGTCTAATATAGGCTAATATCTACTATAGTTTACTGTTAGCAGTCGGGTGAAAGAGTACATGTATCTGTGACTCACCTTGCCTTGGTAAATAAAGCTAAAGACCAAAGCAGCCACTTCAGCTGCAAAGATCAGCATGATGATCAGAAAGAACTGGAGAGAAAATAAAATGAGAGAAGTTGTAAAAACAGAGTGAGAGGATAAATAAAAGCTTAGGGAAAACCAAAACAAGACACATTACAGATAATAATGAAAATGTGAACCTCCTCTCTCCTGCGACACACACTTACAAAGCTAAGGCCGACTTTGGACTCCCGGAGTGTGGCGCAGCATCCCACCAGACCAAAAATGAACATCACCACACTGACGCCGATGATGATAGCTGCCGGGATCAATGTGTACTTGTCTTGAATGAAGTGGTCGAAGTTGTCATAGCTTCTGAGCATATAGGCACCGACATAGGCCAACGCGGCTCCTGCAGCCTGCATGGAGGAGAAAACATCAACAAGTTACGTGTCAATTGTTTAAATTCATTCAAAGTTTGCAATAGGTTTAGGGAAAGAAAGAAATATTTTGGTGTGTGCGCATGAAGGTAAATCAGAGGTAAAACAGAGGTGATATCCTGGCAGAATGTTCATCCTGCCCCAGTTTTCTGGGCAGTCACCACCATCAATCCTCATTTTTACTGTAGAGCTCCCTTATTATTGCTCAAACCTGGGTTCTTCATTTCAGTTGGAAAAAGTGATTCCAGTAAGGCTGTCAGTAACATTTCCCAACAATGTTTGAATTTCCATCTAGCTGAGTTTGATGGAACTCTGACTTAAAGGATTTTGCTGTCACATTTGTCAGTGAGTCAGCCAGCTTAAACTTTTAAGTTCATTATCTTGATTTCTTCAGTTGTCAGCTCTCTACATGTATAATCGGCAAATGAGAAAAGAGTAAATGTAAAGGAAAGTATTTACCATTACCATTAGACATAACAGTTTTCAGTTTCATATATAATAAAACATACATACAACACACAAATAAACACTGAATGAATACATTTTTAACTGCTGATGTTTTTTGACCACAGATCATTCTGCACAAAGCACTAGCTGAGGGCCAAATTAAGGCACACCTAATTTTGACAATTTCCGTCCTAGTTATTTGGGTCAAAAGACAACAAAAGAGTAAAGAGTCAACAATCATGAAGTTTTTTTTTTTTTTTTTAAACCTTTGCATAGTTAGACTTTGCATTTAAAATACCAAAGTATTGTGGGAACAAACACACATTGACACAACTGAAGGAATTTGTCACATGATCTGTTTTTCTCTCTGTGCTGTGGTTGAAAGCGTCATACTCTCTACAACAGAGAGGAAAGAGCTGTTGTTAACCTTCTATTCATGAACACTGATGTAAGATCAGTTTGGTCTTCTGTCAACATGACATACTGTAGGAATAAAAGCTCAGAGAGATAGAAACAGAGGTCCACCTACAGTCAATGAGAACCATTAACTGTAAAGAGAGAACAAAGCTGCTTTTAGATAAAGCACAAAGAGATTTGCTCTCCTTTTATTATTCATTATCTGCTGGGATTCCATGTGATGAACACAGGCTGTTAAGGTCACTCGGTGGAGTCAGATGTTGATTTGGCATTAAGTCACACCATCATTGTGACGCTTCTACAAGTCATGCTTCAGCAGTGAGCTCATCAATCATAAGACTTTATGTTTAAGGGCCAATTTTGACACCAGAACCGCAGTGATTGTTCTGTGATCTGGTCTAAAGGGTCAACACTATAAAAACTGTGAAGCAAAAACAACTGAAAACAAAGTATTTATTTTATTATCAGCACTCCTGACGTTCCTTTGACCTTTGAAACTCACTGTATCAGACCTGTGTGTGTGATAAAAGAAGTCCAATAGACGGGGGGAACAACAAAAACAACTGGTGGGAGATGAAAGCTACATAATTAATAAGAATATAAAAAAAAATCTAAACAAAAAAATGTGTTCATAGTCAAATATAGAGGTTTGTGTAAGCTCTATTTTTTAAATGCAACTGGTACGGCCCGAATAGGTGACAATATGTGATCAGCAAAATTTCCCTTCACATGGTGGATGGAACATTTGTGGCAAAAATACTACATACTTATTAATCCAGAAATCCCCCTTCATGTGTGTCTGCGCATTTGTGTCATTTTCACTTTTACTTCCCCTGTAATGAGGTGAGTTATAGATTGGGTATCTGTCTTTGTTTGCATGTATTTTGTGTGGCCTAACAATCATTCACCCTCAACTTCAGCCTCATGACTCACTTCTCTTAATCACTCCATAGTCACGGGATCCCAACCCCCCTCCCATCTCTCACCCCTAATCTTTCTGGAAACTCTGATCTTGTGCCTAAGGAGCAGCACAAAGAGGCTTACACAACATATAGCGCCCCGGTGCACGGTGTCACCTCTCTGGAATGTGAGAAATCTCTGAGGCGATGTTTCTTAAGACTGTGGGGATGATTTTAGTGGGCCCCTGCATGAGAATCGTATTGGTACTGTATCTTAGACCAGGTTCCAGGGAGCAGACATTTTGGGAGAGAAAGCAGCTATGCATGCTCACGTGCTCCCAAACATTCAGGACACATGAACTTTTAAACTTTTACCTTTGAATCTCCTCATTTGTTTAAAAAAATAATAAACCGTGTTATATTGCGGCACCATTAAATCAAATGGAAATATTCTAATTAAGTGGATCCTTTCATACACATTTTTACTGAATTCACTACCTAATATTTGTCATCTTTTGAAATTTTGGGATCTTCAAAATGACTTCAAATAAACTTTTGTGGGTTTGTGCAATGTTTATCTGCATAATGTGATCTCATAAAGATAGGTCTAACAGTGGGTCAGGCAGAGTTTAACACTATAATTTAATATTTTGATTTTAAAAAATTCTTAATACATGCCTCCTACGCCCGAGTTACAGTTAATCTGTCTTTCAAATAGTCTTTCTCACAAACCCGTAAACCAGCGTTGTTTATCGATATCGTTGAGAGGCTTGGAAATTCAATTATGATGATGATGGCATGGATGAACAACCAGTAGGGGACATTTCCTACTGTATCTAACAGAATTGAACTGCTACTTAAGGCCTGAAGAATCTGAGGGAAGCAGCAAACATGGATGCTCATTATTATTCAGACTACACATCTGAGCTGCAGCTGTCTGAAAAAACAGGACAAATCCAGATGTGAGCGACACTTTGAGATATGTGCTTTATCAATGAGAGGTGATCGTATAGAATTTCTACTGCTTTGCCACTAGAAACCTGCAACGTATGTGACAGATCTTTGTCATGTAGTAGGGATGTGTTTGTGTATAGTGGCTAACAGGTGAGAAAACAATCAACCCTACACAAGTTAAAGATCACAGACCCATATATGCCTGTATACCTGCACGTGTGAGACAAACCGAGAGACAAAGCATTAGATTGACAGAGTGAGGAAGTAAAAAGTGGATGTGTGGCTGTTTGAATTCAAGAAATAAACCATGCCTGTGTTTTCCCAGTCCTCTCGCACAGTAATCAAATTACACAGACATCAGCCACAGCCTCAGAGAAAAGTTGACTCTGGCCCTTCAAAACTCATTTTCCTCTGAGGGAGACAGAGGAGAACTGACAACTGTTTGTAAGCGAGGGCCAAATGGAAAGAGAGGAACAGAAATCAAGGTACAAACTCTGATCAAACGTTGAATGAGTCAAAGTTCAAGCTGGCTGACTCACAAACAGCAAAAATCATTTAAGTTAGAGTTCCAGTAAAGTGGACGGAAATTCACATTGTTGGGGAAATATTACTCACAGCCTTTCTGGAATAAAAGTTTCCAACTAAAATGAACAACGCAGGTTTGAGCAATAATACGGGAGGTGTACACTGAAAATGAGGAAGTACAGTATAATGATGGCGACTGTGCTGGCCAGAAAACTGGGGCAGGATGCCAGGATGTTCATCCACTCATTACTCTGATTTACCCTAACACACACACACCAAAACATTGATCTTCCCCTAAATCTAATAATAATAATAATAATAATAAAATAGCGATTATTCTGTGATAAAAGGTAAGACTGCACTGTTGACTCCATCCTAGAAAGCAGCCAGATCAGAGAACTCAAATCTCTGCAGGTGGAAAAATAAGATCGCGACTTACCCAAAACACCAAGCTGAGGAAGAGGAGGACGGTCTTGGACGTGAAGATTCCGCAGTCCATGTTGTCTGAGGGAGGTGAAGAGACTGAAGGAGGACTGTGGAGTTGCTCCGGTCCACTTTATATCTCGCTGCTGGTTGTTTCTGCTGCTGCTGCTGCTGCTGCGTTGGTCACAAGTTTCCTCAGCCTGTCTGGCTTCAGTCTGTGATCACATGGTCACATGCTTTGGGGAGGAGAGCAATGAAACAGAACAGGTTCTACATCCTTCCACCCCCCCTCCCACCTCCCCACCCTGCTGGGAAGCTATCACGCAGCACTCCTCCTCCCCCCCAAAAAAAGGGAAACCCGCAGAGATATGGAGGATAATAGGAACTACTTTAATGATAAAAGTTATTCTGCAGGCTATTTGACATATTTTTATTCTGGTTCGAGCCCTTTGACTCACGTTCATCTTCAGTTAAAAGTCTAGTTTGTATCATTTAGGAAGATCTGTTGGCAGAAATTGAATATAATATTCCTAGGTAAGTGTATGATCGCCAGAATATAAGAAACTTCACGACTATATTCCATTAAAATCCTACAGACTTGACCTTTAATATGCCTTATTTCATTTTCTAGGTATGTTCTGTAAAAGATAAAACTATAAAACTACAATTTTCTTTTATTTATTTTATTTTTACAGCTTCCACCTTGTTTTGAAAATGGATTTTTTTTCTGTTTTGTTTAAGTTTCCTTTGAAGTTATTCTTGACACAACAAACCTACTGTCCGCTATTGACAATATGATCATGTGATTACACAGGAAGTGTGAGGCCACCAAAGGGGTCATTGATTAGATAATAGCCCCCTCCTCTGTTCCTCAGCAGTTAATTACAATGACAGAACTCATTATGATTTCCTGTGTCACAAAAGAGAAGACTACTGGAATTTACTGCTACAAAACAATGATTTTACTAATGCTATTTCAGTAGGTTGTATACTGGAGATTTAATCCACTAACACATTTATATATGACTTACTATGGAACTTTGAGGGAGGACAACATAAGATAACAGCTGCTTTCTGACCGAGACACAGCTCAAGACTTCAGCACATATTCTAAAATGACTCACTTATAAGCACTACATTTGTGTAAAGACTAGACAAACCTACAAGAACCATGAAAAGAAGTCAAATTTTGGTTTAATAACAGGGATGACAACGCCAGTCACAGAAACAAAAGCAAATCCAAGCTGTGTACAGTATAGTGTTAAAGATGGTAGAAAGGTGTGTGCCTGTGAGAGAGTTTCTCCCACTCACAGTCCAAGTTCCCTATTGAGACTATTACAACTTCATCTGATCTGGTATGCCTGCTTCATTCTCTGTTCTCCTCATGTACAGAGAAAAGATTACAGATACTTTTTTTTTATGTCTTTGTTGCATGTCATCCTCTCTTTCCCCAGCTTTCCCGTCAATCCTCAGCTGCCCTATCCAATAAAGGCAAAAAGCCCCCAAAATATATAAAAACAACAACAGAAAATATATAAAAACAACAAAAAAACATAGTTCTTCTTCTTGCCACTGACAAGCCAACTGCATTTATATGTGTGTGTATGTGTGTTTTTGCATATGCAACAGGTCAAGGCACTATCAGTGCACGACAGAAGGCAGGAGTACATTTGCCAATTTTCTCCCTCTCACACACACACGCAAACACACACACACACTCACTCTATCTAATATTAATGTGGAAAAAAAGCGCGAAAGAGATAATTTAATAATCCATGTGTCCACTAATCATCTCCAGTTTATAATATCTATAAATATATATTTATTAATAATATCAAAAAGAATAACCCAAATGTTGGATCACTTTTTTAAGATTTAGTTTATTTTTTCAGCTCAAAGTCATTTAAATACAATTCAAAGTGCTTTAAAGGCACAATCCATGAACTTGGCAAGGACTAAAACAACAAATACATTTAAGTTACTGATGTTTCCTACAGTCATTAAAGATCCAAAAACAGACCAAAATTAATAATAATATTAATAATAATGTGAAAATCACAAAAATATAGATTATATAAAGTCAAACTATGGAATCATACAATCTATGTGAATAAACATGTAATATAGTCAAAATTAAACTACTGATTGTGCACAAACATGTGAAAGAATACAAAATGGATATAAATAATATAAAGTAAATACTATTTCATCTTTGAAATCTGACTGAAATTTATATTTAAAATATTCGTCCACTAACCCACTATACGTATATATCATATATCATACCACACATAGTGCCAGAAACACTACAGACTTAAGAAAGTCAGTCAGAGGAACATTCAGTGCAGTATGATGCATTTGCTTCATTTGTTCCTTTGCAATTAATTCAATCTGTTAAGGACACGGCATGTTAAAAGCTTATTATGCAATGATTAAGTTTATTTAGCGCATCATGCCACTGGCGTCTTAATAAAAAGGAAACAAATTTCAAATATACATACTAATGTGAATGCATCCCTCACTGGTCATTTCATGAAGGGTCAAAAAGTTCAAAAAGACCCGGGAAATTAATCTTAAATTCGTTTCTCCGGCCGCCCCTCCTTACAGGCGGATATCTTTTGGCTGAGGTCCATTTCCCTCCACAGAGGAGACATACAGTGGCCTACAATAACATATTCACAATAATTATGTTATAAAACCTAATTTTCTGTTATTTATCTTTTTAAAATTCAAACATTCATCAAAACTGCCCTGCTTCTGCTTTCCAGGAATTTTATATCTATGTTCAGGACGCAGTCTGCTGGGGCTGCCAGGCAACTGTGTTTCTTTGGTCATCTTTAAATTAATTTAATTAGCAAAAACGGCTGAAACAAAACAAAGTTTTGGAGCCAGTATATCAGACACATTACTATTGAAGCTTGTTTAATTATTAAACTCTGTACTGGATTGTATAGAGGGTATAACTTTGTTTACATGTCCAAAATACAAGTCTCAAATTACACTTTACAACTGCCAGCTTCTAATTACGCAACAAATTAGGGTAGATTTCACTAAATCCCTGATGTAAAAATAGAGATATAGACAGTTAAGAGGGCGCTGATCCTTATGATGTGCATTTTATGTGGATTCTCAACTCTTTACGCAGGATTTTTACTAAATAATGCAGCTGTAAAAAACACAAACTTTATCAAGTTAGAGAGGGAGAGAAGGGGCGCACTGTGGTGGAGAGGCTCACTCTACACGGTTCTCATTGAGGCTTTATAAAACCTCAATCAGTCAAGAGGGCCACAAGAGATAGCACTCTGTCCTCTCCCCTCACTTGACCCTATAGCAACAACCCATATCACAATGTCTTCTGCAGCGATTGCTTTGCCTTCGGCGACTCCGGCCAAATCTCCCAAGAAGAGAGCCAAGTCTCAGAAGAAGAAGACGGGTCCCTCAGTGTCAGACCTGATACTGAAGGCCGCGTCCGCGTCCGCAGAGCGCGGCGGCGTGTCCCTGGCAGCCCTGAAGAAGGCTTTAACGGCCGGGGGATACGACGTGGTGAAGAACAGAGCCAGAATCCTCATCGCCATCAGGCGCTTGGTGGCCAAAAAAACTCTGGTCCAAACCAAGGGCACCGGGGCCGCGGGCTCCTTCAAGCTGAACAAGAAGCCCCCCACACCTCGAAAGAAGAAGGTCGTGAAAAAGAAGCCCAAAGCGAAGAAGGTCAAGAGGACCAGGGCCAAGAAAGCAGCTGCAGGTGCCACTCCAGCGGCCAAGAAGTCACCTAAGAAGAAGAAGAAGGCAAAAAGTCCCAAGAAAGCAAAGAGGCCCGCTGCGGCCAAGAAGCCCAAGAAGCCAAAGAGTCCCAAGAAGGTGAAACGCAAGGTCGCCAAGAGGTCCACCAGGTCCAAAGCCGCTGTCAAGAAGTGACAACTCTCATAATGAACACTAGATGCTGACCAAACGCCTCTCTGGTGGCGTTTAACTTTACGTGTGGACTAAACTTCTGCATTCATTCCAAAAACTTGAGTTTGCTTGCTATTTTACAGTTTTTCTACAGTAGAAAATACTGAGCCTGCTGTTTTTACACATTACTTTTTTGAATCTGCTGTGGTCTGTAAAGACTTGATTTGCAATTGTTATAATATTAAACGTACTTTCACAGAGCATGTCGTGTGATCTTTAAATGTTTTGAACAGGAAACATAACTGAGCATTCAATATATTCTCTGTTTATGCAGGACTCTTTGGATAAGAACCCAGTCTGCTGTAGACAACATTCAGCCTTTACTGTTGTCGGGTATATGTTTATGACTAATTGCATTATTGAGCTCTAAAATATGACCTGATCATTCGCACCACTTAGAAAAAGAAGTTTTTTTTTTTTATAAAGTTCGTTATTATAAAAAAAAGCAAGTTTGGATTGTGTCTACCTGGTTACCATATAGTATACTATATGTATTGCCCGGAATTTTATTTCTGTCCAATTCTGAGCGTGCAATTTTATATGATTCTCAACAATACAAACACTTTTTGGCGTTTGTACAGCTGGCAGTTTGACGCAAAATGATGCTGCTCAGTAGATCTGGATGTACTGCAGTGGACTACTAAGTGTCCACTCTATACGGAGCTGTGAATGAGCGATCATGGGGGTTTTCTTGATTCGCTTAATTCCGCTGGAGTGCGCGCGTAATGTTTAGTGGCGCCTTTACGCACCGTTACGCACGGACACCAAGGCGTCCAGCAGTGTGAATTCATACATATTTTAACACTAAAAGGTGATTGTTATGAAGTGGCGGACACAAGCAACCACTGTGCTCTAAATTATCCTGAATAAAACGTGTTTCTGCGTCTGCCCTCCAATACAGAAAAAGAAAGACTTGCTAAGACTTTGTTGAAACGAAATCTGGATTCAAACCCCCTATACTGCAGCCTGTAAAGTTTTGGTTTGCGCCAATCTGAAGTGCAGATTGACATCAGCAGAATTGGTCATACAACAGCAGGCGGTGACACTCGCCAGCTGCGCGCAAAAGGCAGCTAATCGTCACTGCCAACAGTGACACTTGATGGGCGTGTCAAACCGTGTCCGTTCGGGTTCCTCTTATCTCCAGCAGAAAAACACATGGCAGGGTTCAGTAGAGGTGAAGCGATGAGCGAGGCATACCGTCTTCATCCATAAGTCTGATGGAATTTAGACAGCAGAGGAAATAGTGCTGACTTTTGGGTTCGTTTTGGCACGAGGAGGAAGGTTTATAAAGATGTGGAATTTCAAAGCATGACAAAAGCTATGATCCATATTCATACACACTCTGCTTTGGATGTTATATGCTGAAGCAGTGAGCATTTTGTGCAGTATGTGACGACTCGCACAGCTGCATGGTTTCGTATTGCCATCTACTGGCCGGATTCAGCAACAACTGGGAGAGTGCACTCAGCAGAGGGCGGATCTCTGCCAGGCAACAGCTGATGAAGCACATACATTTGTTACCACATTGGTTTTTGGAATAGTCAAGTTTTCTGTAAAATGCGTAGAATATAGTAGTACAAACTGCTCAGTTTAAACACTTATTTATTTGGAATATTGTTTTTTTTGTTGTTGTTTAGATCTTTTTACACACCACACAAAATAAATCCTCTCCCAAATGACTCCCCCGACTCTATACAACATGAAAAACACAGTGTCAGATACAGGGCTAACCCAGACCTTTGTGAAGCTGTGAAGTAGTCTAAATGTGTTAATACAATATCTAACGTCAAAAATAAACATTTCTATTCTGCCCCTTAGCTCGTGACATCTCAGTAGCACACTAAAGACTATTGAGGTTAGAGGTTAGGCCTTTAGCGTGTGAGAGATAAAACAAATACATTTTATTCGCAGATTTCCCAACACCCACGCAAAGTAAATAAGGTAAGCGTAAAAGGAAGCTCAAGTTTCACATGTCTTATGCCTTATACTGTAGTTTCCAAGTCTTTGTTGTAGTTGCATTTCCTTTTCTTCAAAGTAGTTTCCTATTGTGTCAGCATTCCCTGCTTTCTCTGCAGCCACTGGATAGAAAACAGAGTTTTGAAAAGCGTGCAGTGATTTGACTTTTGCTAACTAGAGCCAATCAAAATGACCACACTTTCCTTCTCTCTCTCTAACCCCGACCGGTCGAGGCACACGACCACCCACCTAGAGCCGTGGTCTGCTTTAGGGTTCTGCCTCTTAAAAGGAAGTTTTTCTTTGCTGCTGTCGCCAAGTCCTCGCTCATGGTGGGTCTCTGTAAATCATCTTATAAGGACTGAATTAAAATTTAAATAATCTTAATATGTGGGACATGGGACATAGGACAAGGGATAAAAATGCTGTGCAGTCTCACATAAAGTGGGACACCTGGGACAACTAGTCACCCTACCCTACCTCAATATTCTCAAGGGCCACTTGGTCTACAGTTAACAAAGTACACACAGAGCAAACACAACAGCACAATAGGTCCCCTTCCACCCAGCACACAACATCCCACGACATAGATTAAGGCGTTCTCATTTATATTGCTATCTATGACCCCCACCCTTAATAAATTAAGGAAGCTTGCAAGAGCTTTGCTTTGAATTAAACTGAGTGGTTTAATTCTGACTGGTGTCCAATAATATCTAGGAATTCTTGTGTAAATTTGCTCCTACTATCCCAAACGGCCTAACCCATGTTGTGGACAATATTTTCCCAGACATCTTTATCAATCGAATTGTTGAGCGGTGAGTCAATCTGACATTCTCAGGAAATTCCCAGTGAGGTAAACTCACGTGACAGTCCAAACATGTGCAAACACGTGAAAACACAGCAACCTCCCTTTAGTATATCTTGTTTTCACAATCTTCTCTCTGTTCCCTTTAAAAGAGGAAGTCAGTGAGCGATTTTAACTTTACCTTAAAAGAAGTACTTTGTTAAATGCATTTATCAATCAAAGCAGTGTGCCTTTAAGGTCTGCTCTGCTGGGTCTATTTTATGCATAAGTTTCATTTTCCCCTTCATCTCCACCCTCCTCTTGTGTGCACTTCAGCCCTCTCTTTTTTTTCATCTCAGTCACCTTGCTTTCAGATTGTATTAGTTTTAGTGGGTTATGGGTGGGTAAATAATAATAAAGATAGTGTGACATTGAACCAAAACACACAGTAGATGACAGGTAAGACAAACTTAAGGTATCTGTGCTCAGACTGCATGGTGGGCTCATTTACTGACTACTTTGCATGTATAGACAGGTTTAAGACTTCAGCATATTAATTTTGAGGTATAGTTCAACACACTGCTTTCAGAACTGACCATACTGCACTCACTTGAACGATTAGATAACAAATCATGTATATGAACCATATAATGGACTGGTTTATGACCAGGCGATGGCTTACTTCAGGTTTTATTATACTGTGAAGTTACTTTTCTGTCATAGAAAATAATAGGCGTAGTCATAAATTAGGTGTATTGAGTTTAGTTTCCTGTTAATAAGTTGCCTATACTATCTATACTTGCAAAATAAAAGTAAAAAACCACATCCACCCCCACCAGTTGTTAAACAAGATTTTCCTGTTTGTCATATGATAAGCTGCATAAGAGGAGGAGGAACCTGGCTTGAACCTCATATGTATTTGTCCTAACCTGTTTTGAGACAGTCATCATGAAGACAGCAGTGAACCTCCTGGCTCTCTTCCTTCTTCATGCCTGCTCTTCGGTCCCCGTCAGCAGACCCACCAACTGGCTCAGACAATGTCGTGCCTCCACCAACCTCTCTATCACAGCTCTGGAGGTGCTGCCGGGCGGAGGCTGGGACAACCTCCGGAACATGGATGTGGGTCGAGTCATGAACCTCAGCTACTTCCAGTGCCAGACCACTGAGGATGGGCTCTACCTCATCCCGGATGAGGTGTTTGTCATCCCCCAGAAGGAGACGGGCGTGGAGACAAACTCAGAGATAATCAGCTCGTGGCTGGAGCAGAAAAGCTCTACATCCCAGAGCATTAATGCGGACATATCCTTCTTCTCGGTTCTGAATGGCAAATTTTCTACAGAGAACCAGAGGATGAAAACCCATCAGGTCAAAGACTCTTCAACTACGACCAGAGTGCAAGTAAGTTTTTATTTTCCATAGTTTGGATTAATAAAATAAAAAGCACATACAGTATAGTTATGGCTGCTATTGTGGGTAAAAGCTGCTATAATCATAAAATTATGTTTATGTGTAACAAAAGTACTACTCTACTGTGGATTACTTCTAAATTTGGTTGATAAAAATGTTGACTGCCTTTAAATATTTTATTTATTGATAGTACTGTAATAGTGCCAGTGTGTGAGCCAGAAGGCTGTTTCTTCTCTGTAATTTCTGGTGTTACAGATGTCACATTAAAAAGCAAATAAAGAAAAGGAATAGGACATTAATAAGCTGAAATAATTATGGCACATGTTTAAAAAACTAAGAAAATAATATAATGTCTTATCGTTTCCTCAAAGGTTCGTAACTTCATCTACGCAGTTAAGGCTTATCCAGACTTCAATCTGGATTCACGCTTTGCTCAACAAGCCAAAGAAATAGCTGATGCCATTGAAAACAACCAAACAAGGCACGCAGATTATCTCTCAGAGAAGATGGTACTGGACTATGGAACCCATGTTATCACTAGTGTCGATGCCGGGGCCAGTTTGGTGCAGGAAGACTACCTACGCTCTGTATCGGACAATGTGTCGCAAAGTTCCACTATCACAGCGCAGGCAGGCTTAAACTTTTTTGACAAACTCAAGTTTGACATAAGCAGCAAAAATACCCAACAGAGCTCAGCACTTCAAACATATCAGTCCAATATTCAGTACTCTCTGACCCAAAGCCATGGTGGCACACCTTTCTATCCTGGCATCACTCTGCAGAAGTGGCAGGAAAGTACCAGGAACAACCTTGTTGCTATTGATAGGTCAGGATTTCCCCTACACTACTTTATAAACACCAACACCTTCCCTGATCTGCCACAGCCTACAGTTGGCAAAGTGGCTCTCACGCTGAGTCAGGCCATAGAGCGATACTACACGATCAATACGCGACCTGGATGTGTCGACGTCAACTCCAAGAACTTTAACTTCCAGGCCAACATTGATGATGCATCCTGTGAGGGCCCTGCAACAAACCTCAGTTTCGGTGGCGTCTATCAACAGTGTATTATGCGCAGCTCAGATGCAGGTCCACTATGTGATGCCCTGGCCCAGAAAAACCCTGAAACAGGTGACTTCTCCTGTCGTCCGCCATACACCCCGACTTTACTGAGATCTGAAGTGAGACAGCAGGCTTACACTTCGTACGATTGCTATGACCAGCATTATGGTTGTGGGTTTTTATGGCTTGAAGATTGCATTAATAGAGTGTGTCAGGACAACTACCACGTTCGCTCTGCTCGCGTCGACACCTACTGGTGCTCTGTAAATAATGGAAAGGCCCCAGACAACTCAGGGTATCTGTTTGGAGGCATATACAGCCCTTCTCTCCTGAACCCCCTCACCAATGCCAAAAGCTGCCCCTCAAACTTCATTCCAGTAAAGTTTCTCTCGGACGGCCAAGTGATATGTGTGAGTAAAGACTATGAAACTGCCACCAGATACTCCGTACCATTTGGAGGCCTCTTCAGTTGTCAGTCAAGCAACCCACTGGCAGGGTCCCAACGCCGCTGCCCTCCCAAGTTCAGTCAGCATCTCGCCACAGTGAGTGACGGCTGTGAAATTCTTTACTGCGTCCAGTCAGGACTGTTCACAGGAGGGCAGCTTCTCCCAATCCATCTGCCTCCTTTCACCAAACGCCCACTTGTCAGCATGCAAGCCACAAACACAGTCATGGTGATGACTGAAGGAGACAAGAGTTGGGTCAGAGTGGGGAAGACCAAGGCATGGAAACTGGCAAAACCAGAGGAAATCAATGACATTGTGCACCAGCTTAACCCAGAATTGGGTCATATGTCTAGTGGAGAAAAGGCAGGGGTAGCCTTTGGTGTGATCGGTATGATAGCACTGGTGGTAGTGGCAGTGGTCCTGCTGAAGAGAAGGAGGAGGATGTCTGGGTTCATAAGAGCTAGAGGCTATGACGAAATACGTGGAGAAGTCGAGCACGAAGATGGAGAGAGAGAGGCACAGCAAGATGAGGCTTGAGAAAAACACACAGCTCAGCGGCTTAGCTGCAGAAGACGGAAGTTAATGCGGTGAGACAGATTTAGTTTTTAACTTCCCTGCTGATCGTCACCTCAGAAATCAGTCACGCAAATTTTTCACGTTTCTAGTTTCACAAGTGCTTCTAGTTTGAAACAGTTGGACTTTGTGATTATGATTCTTCTAAAATGTGTATGAAACAAATAATTCACATAGCCACATTTACCAAGTGCTATGGATAGTAAAGGGTTAGGGTTAGGGTTAGGATTAGTAGAGTAACAGTTAAACAATACATTTATTGGACTTAAGCAGCTGCTTAAGTAAACTTTGTATTTTATTATATTGTTATATTATATTGTATTTTATGGCCTATCAACATCATACTATATTACATCTAACAGTCATCAATTTCCCTTTAAATTCACCAAATGAAAAAGCAGAAGTTATTTCAAAGGCCATAAGTAACCCAATACTGCCCTCATGAGGCCAAGATGCACAATGCCATGTAGTATATAAACATTTTTAGTCCTTGTTTAAGAAAATGAATGCTTTGTTTGAATGTACCATTTATCAGTGGATGTGGCTCAGGAGGTAGAGCGCTAATCTTCTAAGCGCTAAGCGGTTTGATCCCTGGCTCATCCAGATGCATGTCAAAGTGTCCTTATTTAAGATGCTGTACCCCAAATCCAGATGTTGTGCATCAGTGAGTGAATGTGTATGAATGAATTCCGTCTGAGATGGCCTTTGTCATCACTTTATGAATGTGTATGAATGAGTAATTGTGGCATGTTCATTTACATAAAACACGTGGTTTATAAATATGTTTTAGATAATTGACATTAACACAATTAACATTTTGAAACCTTTTTTTTCAATATATGAATTCACAACTCAAAGTATTTTATTGTACTATGCTGCAATGTATGTTAAGCTCTTCTGCACTGCACTTAACCTCTAATTAAAGAAAAATATATTTAAAAAAAAAAGGATTTATGTGTTCATATTTATATTGTATGTATTCTTGGTATGTCTCTGTTCATGTTAAGACTTTAGAAACGCCCTAAATCCTCTACAAGTGCCCTGGTCAGTGTCACTTGACCTTATAACAGGTCTGGGTGAAGTTAATATGTTTTTTTAAGGTTAACAGATGGAGTTGAATCTTTCAGCTAAATCCAAAACACATTTAGTTTTAACTTTTCATTATAGAAACACAGAAATTACAGTGGCATTACAATGTTAAGGTTAGTATAGAAGTCAAATCGCATTAGGTAAGCATGCATAAGTCTGTAAACGTGGCACCGAAGCACATACTGCTTCTCTAAATAAAAGAGCAAATCTGGGTAGAAAAACAAATCTCCCTGTCTTGTGCTGAATGAAACCTCTTGCACAGAGTGCAGAGAGACCTTACAGAGAAAACCACCAACATTCCACCCACATCCATAAATAGACAATGGCAAAGCTGACCTCATGGTGTTGGTAAGGTTATCAGTACACAGACAGGCCGGGCTCAGACGTTGTACAAAAACAGTCACTCCTACAGACATACACACACGTACTGTACACTCACATGCACGTACATGCACATACATCTAGCCATTTCCCGTAAAGAAGGCTCATATTAACGTGCATCTTTCCTCTCGTGACTATACAAGAGTCTCCCTCCCCCGCACATGCACGTGCACACACACATACACACAGCACAGGAAAAGGACGGATGACATCACATGAGGTTTCAGACTAGGAATGCGGGTAGGAGTGTGTGAGTGTGTGTTTATGTGCTCATGCCATTCTGTGTGTATTTTTGTTTATCTCATTGCATGAATGTCATTGAAGGTTTATGGTTTTATGTAACTCAGAAAGTTTCATGTTTTCCATTTGATGATCAAACAGAAAGATTCAGCTGATTTTGGCATTTTGTTTCACAGGGTTGTTCACAGGGTTGTGGGTTTGTTGACTAAGACGAGCCATTTAAACCATGTTGTGTGTTGTGGATTTTTGACTTTGTGAGTTAAAGTTTAAGGCTGGTGTTGTTTTTGTTGCTGTCAAAGACCAAAACCATGCGTTAATCCGCCTCTGAATACTTCCCTGCAATGTTTGTGGCTCTAATTTAAAAGCCCATTAGTTCCTCCTGAAAAACAATAGATATATACTGTCATTTTTAAAGGGCAAAAAATGTCTTAAAACAGCGGGTCACTGTGGTTTTTAGCAAACGTTACTCAAACAGGAGTAAATAGTTGGTGACTATTTTAAGCTGGGAATTTGGGGCTACTGCCCATTTATAAAAGGAGGACGCTGTATGTGGGCTTGACTCTAAAATAAACCCCAGTGCTCATCATAATGAAGAAACACGTTCACCAGTGCAACCTTTTGGTTCATTGATGTGTTTTTAATAGCTTTTGGACAAAATTGTAAGTCTAATGGCACAGAGGAATAAGATATATCAGGCTACAGTTCTTGTAGGAACAAATCATTGTGGTCTTTTCATGGGATTTGTTGATAATTAGAAAAATACAGAATAACACCAGCTTCATCCTTTTAAATGGTCTCTTCACCACCGAAGATTATTTATTCATATTGCACCCACAGTTGGCAGGTCTTCAGATAAAAAACTGTCAAGTACCCGTTCATCTGATATTAAACCTTAAACAGCTGACTCTGCTCCTCATTTCATAGAGGATTAGAGGAACCATTTGAATCCTGTAGTTGCCAGAATCCCTATAGTTCACTTGGCTGCCAGCGTTTAAAGGCTCTTACTTTTTATTCTTTACAGTGTGCGTCACTGCATTACATCGGCTGTGCTACTGGGGCAGTTATGTGTTCGATAAAGTGCAGCTGACATGAAAGCATTTGATGATCATGACATTATTTTAGTCACGGTCCATTTCTCATTTCCTGTCCTCTCTTTCCACTCATTTGTCAGAGCCCTGGTGGTCTTCTCAGCGCCCTGTTGTTCATTGTGGTATTCTATATTATGAGTTTTTGTCTGCTCCTCTCTTACACACCTACAGACTGTAACTTATGATCAGCATATATCTTGTGTGTTTTAAAGGCATTCCACTTGGGGGCAGTCTTTATTGTCTTTTTTAAGCATTTAAATCCGATAGAGACTCTGTGTCGTGTGTGGCCTAATTTCTCCTGAACTTGATGTAAATGCTGCACATTAAACTGCATTTTTCTGACTCTCATCACTGCCCCGCCCTCTCTGTCTCTCTTCTCTTTTTCCGTCTGTAGTTCTGCCAGCTTTGGTGGACAGGCTGGGCGATGGGAAGGACCAGGTCAGGGAGAACAGCCAAGCTCTCATCCTTCGCTGTATGGAGCAGACTGCCTCGCCCATGGTGAGACACACACAGACATGTACATAAAAATCAGTGCCTCGGGACCCTGACTAGATAAGGCCTCTTGTAATAAACGACAGAAAGATAGTGAGATAAGTTTGATGTTTATCAAGACTAAATACTAGTTCCATAGAGTTTCACAATTGTTGGAGTATTTCAAGTTTAGGCTCCAACAGTAGATTGCAACTGTGCAAAAGGCAGTTATATTGTGTGTTTTGTGTGCGCTTAGTAGAGTCAGTAAATGCAATAGACCTATTCAGTTCAACTGCCCTTATTCCAGTTATTTCGAAGAATGCATAATCAAGATGCAAAACGGAGACGGCAGACAAATCACAGCCACCTTAGAAGTTGGGCTCCCTCTTCTGGATATTAAATGAATTACCAAGGCTACATCTCCACTCTGCTTTGTCTTATACACACACACACACAC